AAACACAACAGAATTTGTTGCAAACGCTGAAAATATCAAATATTCTCTTGGCAAGGGTTGTTGACCTCGTGACGTAAGCAAGAGAATGTGTTGCCATATTGCCGTCTCCGTAAAAGCGAAATTGCTCGCAAATGGAAGGAAGGGAAAGGGGGAAAAAAGACATATTCCCGAACTATTACGAGGACTGATAACGCGCGCTGGGAATTATTACTGCTCCAATGGCAACAAAATAAACGATGTGGACCGACAGAATGGAGAGAAAATAAAATGACGAACGTAATTTATAGATTTTTTTCCTCCTTTGTATATGCTTGTTTTTTATTATTATACGCATATATTTTTTTTAGCCTTCATCAGTACTTCCCCCTTTTTTTCATGCCTTTTAATAATATTCCTCATGGTATCCTTCCAGTGGCTTTTAGCAAATGCATTACAGGAATAATTTCCTGCTAATGGATAAGAAAAACCAGAGCTCTTTTCTGCGACTCTCACGAATGCGTAAAAAAGAAAATAGTTGAGGAGAAAGAAGATGCATTGTGAGGATTTAATGAAAGCATTTCTTTCTTCCAAATCCATTTACGAACAGACTTACACCACTAGAAAGCCTATTTTAAAATAAAAGTACTATTTAAGGAATGCCCAGAAAATTTAATACGGACATTTCTCGAAAAACAGACCGCGAATATCTCTGAAATTAAATCTCTTATACATATCTTTATGTTCCATTCAAAGCACAAGAACTGTTGCCTTGTCTGGACTCCCTTGTAGTTTCGTCCTGGATTCGATCTTAGTAGGGTGGAAAAGTCAGCTGTATGGGAATTTTCGTTACTTTCCTCATAGAGAGACAGACAGCCCTCAACGTAATTTTCCCGTGAAAAATTACCTACCTGCTTACTTTTATTAGCCAATATGCGCTGATTTATTATTCGTGATTTCGGGAGCAGGTTTAATACTTACCCAAGTTCTGGGTATAATCTACTTTAAGCTTAGCTTAGTCAGATTAGTTACAGCAAGGAAAGTAAGGCCTACTTGTCCCGGGATACACAAGTGCCCCCTTCCGGAGAACCTTGTAAGGTATACTCATTTGTACTAAAACAGTACCGTATAGGAAAAGCTACAAAAATTTTCATGCTATTTGTTAGCTCAGCTTCAAATGAATCTGAAAGACTGATGGCGGCTAAGCGAAATATCCCATTCTACCATCTCGATTCTTCTTATCATCCTTTTGTTGTTCCAGACATTCTTTTATCTGATGCAGAGTAAAAGCGCGCTGTCATTCTCTTTCCATTCGACACAAGTCAGAACCTTTAGATGCCTCATACAACCCTGGTCTGATGATGGCATTTGACCACAACGCCAATGGATTTGTGTCCAGTTTTGGCTAAGGCATTTGCGTTATTGCTTTCCTTTAAGGATGAAATATTAGTCTACCTCTGTGGTGCAACTTAGGTAGCGTTTTCTGTGATGAAATGACACATTCAGATTCTTCCAGCGAATGCCTAATCTTTAATTCTCAGGTCTTTGGTGAAAGGAATTCAGGATCTCTTTTACTCAAATCCTGACACAGCAGAGCATCATACGCATTTACCTTGCATCTTTCTTTAATTTCAGACCAGGCGAATGAAACAACACTATGATGTAGTCGTGGGTATTAAGGTCCTGCGTGCTGTAACACTCACAGTAGGTGCTCAAATCGTTCGGAATTGATTAACCTATGAGTGGCGTTGCATCGTTGGATTATGGAGTGCTTGAAACATTCAAGGATGGCTGACATTGGATCATCATCTGAATGTTGTCGAAAGCTGGTTGAATGCATACAGTGAGTTCCTCAACAGTATGCAATATCTTTTGGCATAAAATTAGTTTCACAAAACCCCATAAGACGAAACTGATGGATTTTAAGGCTGGCCATCTACAGACACTACAATAATTCCTTACTCCTTTCATTCATACAGTCGGAAGTGATGTCACGAGCTTTTAAAGAGCATAATTACCAGAAAAAAGCGGTGTACCAAAACCATTCAAGATTGCATTTTGTTTCTAATTTTGTTCCTAATTTTCTGAATACGACATGTAATGCTGTCGCACGTTTTGGAAGAAACCCTGTATATTTACAGTTTTACTGGATAGAATGAGGGACTCTTCCAAGCTATTCTAAATTAATGACTGTAAAAACTATTTTAACTTCTAAAATTAATACAATTACTTCCAACATACGAAAAGATTGTTGAGTTACCGCCTCAAATCAAATTCAGTACACATTTTCTATGTGCGTTTTTTCCTTCCTTCCCCCCCAAAAAAAAAACCGCGTGAAAAGAGTGCAAAAAATGACGTAAAAGATAGAAATGATTTGTAATATAAGCTCAGTTAATTTTGTATTTAAATTAAAATTGCATAAACTTTAATTAAGTCGGCTTCCGAAATTATGGTATCTACGAATAACCGTTGTTACAGTTTCAGTTTATTTCTATAGGATTAAAAGTTACGTTTTCATCATTTTTTAAAAAGTTACAGAATTTTGTGAAATCCAAGAGCTAAAAATTAAAAATTATAATTGCGAATGTGAAACATTATGCAAATTTAAAATTAGCCTTAAATTATGATCTGATTTGTAATCACGAATCAGGATGCATATTTTAAGATTTAAAACTAAAAACCCTTGTAATATTTTTTATAAAAAACTGAAGCGTACATAGGTTTCAAACTTCTCACTGAAAATAATTTTACGAATGCAAATACACTTAAAATAATTTTTATTACTTTATAACTTTCTTGATTCACAACTTAAAAAAAATAACTAAAGAAAAAAAATTAAGAAGAAAAAGCCTAAAATGTTACAATCAACAAACGTTAGGAAAAAGGGGGGCTTTCATTATTTTCAAATATCATCATTCCTGGGATGAAACAAGAAGGCAACGGCATAACAAAAGCAAATGTTAATGAAAGACTGTTATCATATGTATCATAAAAACAGTTGTTAATCAAATGACATAAGGTAATATACAATTAAAAGCTAATTATCAGTACTGACCAAAGAAATAACAGATATTATGAATCTTCAAATAGTTTGATCAGAAATTTAAAAGATACTTTTAAAGGATAAGCAATAGGCAAAATGCCCATCTCGAATGGAAAAAAGGAAGCTAAATAATGGCTTATACAACCAACCATACCATATTAATTCAGTATTAATCAAAGAAACCGGTCTTATAGAATGCAAACTATAAACTCCAAACGTTAATTGCCTTATAATTGTGTGAGACTGCTTTTCATTTTGCCATTAAGAAATTCTTCAAGGAAAAAAAACAAAGCCAGATAAAATAGGGGGAAAGAAAAAAAAACAAAGCTTGATAAAACAGTTTAGTAGCATTCATTCATTCAGTAATGAAGATGGTAAAAAAGCGCGTAGTAGAAGGAGGGAGGGGAACTTTCTTTCATTTTATTCACACTTTTCTCAGCTTTACTCATTCTGCTAGTTCTCATCCCGGAGATGATTTCATCTATTTTTTTTTAATATGAACCACTGCTTTGGCATGGCTCCCAAAAAAAGCCAGGAAGAGAAAAAAAATTGCACCAAGTGCTGATTGCCTGAGATCTCTTTTCCTCCGCAACGAATCATATGTGCTTTTGGCGTTCTCAGGCAGCGTGTCGCCTCCACCTAGCAGACTTACCGCTCTTTCCGTCAAGAGGTTATTCACATCGCCACATTCGTCTGCTCTATAGCATTCAGGTTACCGATAGTCTGCGTTATAGCGTTCAGGTGTGCAGCCCACTGTCTTCAGAACAACGCCGCATAATCTGGTAATTATTATATCCCTAGATCCATTAACAGATTAGCGCATTAATATAGCTCAACAGCAGTTTAATATTTCATAGTTTCCAAACTCGTTGCAAACTTTCTGATTATAGCAACAGCATCTATTAAGCGACAGTACCTAACTAGGTTCGATTTTAGTTTACAGAACACCCAGTCTGAACATTATCTGCAGTAGGTATATAGTGCTAAGCCCCCCTCAAAAGCCATTTTCCGTGAATGAATGGATTGAGATTAAATTTAAAAGCGAAGGAACTCGTCAGAATAAACTCGTAAAATAGCATTTCAGTCAGCGGTTCAGAAACATTTTATTTTCAGTTAATCTTTTCCATAAGGATGATTTAAATTAACATTTTTTTCGTATTTTCTCGTTTGTTTAAATGTTTAACTAACTGTTTGTTTTAGTTGTCAAACATTTAACTTTTCCAAACCTATGGAATTAAAATTCCCGTTTGCTTTCGAGTTTATATATTTCATGAAAACTGGGAATATTCACGACATCTGCATTGAAAGGAGTATATGCGTAAGTTAAGAACATACTTTCAGACGCGCAAACGAAGTAAATCGATGTAGAATATTTTAATATTTACCAAATTATTATTTAGCAAAATTTAATTAGGTGCTTCTTGTTTCAACTGTATCATAATCCACCATGTCGGTACAGTGGTCAGCGATGCTGACTGTTGTATCGATGGGCTTGGGTTCGTACCCCGAAAGCGGCTTGGACGTTTGTATGTTATAATGTCTGTGAGTCATGGGGACATTTAAAATACTAGCGAACTGAAAATTCTTTCGAGAGGTTTGTGGTAGAGAAGCAGTGTTGGGAAACTATCATCGGTCGCCGCCTGCCGTGTACTCTGGGCAACGTTCTCGATGTGGCGGCTGAATAACTGTTCATTCTTTCATGAAGAAAGCTTAACTAGCAAAGTGTCCGGTCGTTGAAAGGGCAGCATTTTTAATTTGGTTGCCGCTCCAAAGTCTAGACAGAATTCAAATTACGGATCTTTCAATTGCGAGCTGGGCATATTAACATATGCACCACAAAAGCACTCATGAGAAAATGCAGTTATTCCTAAAAACTTGAATGAGTTTATCTCTTAAAAACGACTCTTAAAAAGAGATTAAAAAGATTGGTACTTGCATAAATTGTACAGTCTTTAAGTAGTCAGAAATTAAAGTAACTTACCATTAAAGCAGGCATAAGTACAATTAAAAATCCTCTTCCTACGTCATTGAACAGTGTAAAATAAGAACGCTTTTAAGAGTAGTTGCTCTGATATGAATTCGACAGTTGTACAGAATGAAAGTTCCACAGCTCTTCAGATAGCTAAAAGGAAAAAAACAGTTCTTATCAGTAACAAGCTAAAAATTGTAAGCATTGTAACAATGGTCCTACGTAAAATGGAGTTATGATGAATATATACTAATCTATATAATAACATTTGATGGTTTTATAGTTTAGAAATAACCTGTAGTACTATGATGCATTTCATCTTGCTGAAAATATAAGCACAAATAATGAATAAGCGAATTTTTTCAGATTTGTATTTTATCTTAATCATGTCCTGGCGAGTAGTGATTGAAAAAATTTGAGCAGATCAATAAATGAAAGAACGCAGAAAGATTCAGATCACTGGTCCTCGAAGGTTAAGCATTTTTAAAATTTGCTTATATTAAGTGTTTAACAATGGCATTTCAAAGGTGGAGATAAAATTCTCTATAATGAGCTATATTTGTATTTTATGACTCAGTTTTTGGCTTCACTATTATTTCTCGTAGAAATAATAAGATAGAAATCAATTTAGAAATAATAATGTCGAGATACTAGGAATTAACGAAAATTTTGGTTAAGATTTTGGTTAATCCTCCCACTAGCTGAAACATTTAATGTAATTAAATATGTAGCTTCAATCTTACATATCAAGCAAAAGTTAAATTTAAAATTATTTAGTTCTTTTTAATTAAACTGAACGAGTGCGAAATAAAACGTAATTGAATCAGAATATATCTTTATGGGAAGTCCATGTCGTTATTACATATATAAACCAAGATAAATCTGTCATTAAGATACTACTTGAATTTCAGTATTTTTCATTATGACTAAGAGAAAACATACAACTAAATCCAATTTCTCTCTTTCGTCCTAAGAATAATACTTAAAATTCCCGCTCAAATTATGTTACATCAAGTCGTTTTTTTATTAAGACAAAGCTTGTGAATATTACCACAATGAACTACCAGTGTTCAGCAGTTTTATGCTATTAATCACTACTGGACCCAAAATTATGTCAAAGTTTACTAGCACTAAATATTAATGAAGGCTAAAAATAGCTTTGTATCTCAAACACAAAACCTCAGTATTAAAATGGCATTAATTTGTACAGGAGATTATTTACCTTTCTAAGATAATATTTTGATAAATGAAAGCTCATTAAACATTAAGACCTGCTTCTTTAAATAGGTGCCTAAACAATACTAGCAGCCACAATTTAGATGAAACTTCCGCAGTGTCTGATGAATGAAAAGACACAGCATGAGCCTCAAAATTTTTTGAAAGAAAATTCGAACTTATTAGCTTACGGAAATTCGAATTATTGAAAGAAAATTCAAATTTATTAGTATACTAAAGCTATCTGTATGAGTTGAGGAATGCCTTCTAAGGAAAACTGGCTCGTACTGACGTTGCGCATAGAGAAAATGCCCATGCTGTCAACCTGTTTCAATCAAAGTCGAACTACCAATGTTTAGCGGTCATATCCGCTCGACCACTGGAGGCTAACTCCAGTGGTTGAGGAGAAGGAACAATGAAGCAATGCAATTTTTCTCTAATTCTATGCTACAGTGTGAAAACAATTTGATGTTCTCCTTTATTTTGCGGAGTATTTTTTTTTAAACATTTGCTTTTAAAACTACCATCAGAATTCCTCTTTATGTGTTGAGTGCTCCTGTAAATATTCCAAAAATACTTTCATAGATGGTAGGGTACTGACCTCAAATCTCAGTTTCTGCACTCCACTAGTTCAGAAGAAAAAAAAGTAACTTAATAAAAAATTTTAAAAAGGAAGAAGTAGAAAAAAGAAACCAGTTAACAATCATCTTTTTTTCCGCTTCATAAGATTTGAAGAGCTATTGACCTTTAAAAGTATATGAATTTCAAGCTTGATCTAATTTTGAAAACTTTCTACTTAAAAGCTCTCAGAAATATGAGACAGTGGATTTGCCGAAGCAGCACAATGAGATTATGTCCAATCACACTGGAGGAATTCCTTTTAATTCGCATTGTGCTAATGAACGTAATAACAGAATTCATTACGCCACTGTTCCTCTAAATTACATAACGCGTGAGTAAATGCAAAGTTGTTCCAACAACGTTCAAAAAAGATCTCCTCATGCGCATCTTCTTCAAAAAACCTCTTCAGCGAACGAAGTGTAGCAGCAGAAAAGGTGGGGGGGATATAGGTTAAGATGAACATAGTTCCGCATCGATGCTTAATTTTCCATCCTGAAGTAGAAAGGAATTCCTCTCTTTCTTTAATCAGTACTTTTTAATAAATGTATACAGTTAATTGGGAAAAGGACCTTAAAATTTCTGTCATGTCTTACAGCTCCGTCCCAACGTCAGCGACCTCGGGTTACGCATGATTAAACTGTTGCATAATTTTGGAAGAGACAGTCTTGGAATCAGAATAGGAAATTTCTTCCGTAATCGATAAGTACGTTCATAGCTCTTCGAACAATCTTGGAAGTCCCTGTACGAAAAATGAATTATGAAAAAAAAACCCACTGTGACATAATATAACAAGAAAATCGCCCGATATTTAAATAATCGAAAACTTCTAGAACTTCTTTAGAATATATCAGCAGGATATTAAGCCAACTAATACCAATTGAAAGAAGATCGATGATTAGAATCAAACACTACTATACATGAATATTTAAGATTTTACATGGAAATTGAATCTCGAATCTGTGAAGGGTGTCAAAACAATACGGCATCCTAATCGGTCCACTTGTGCAGCTGACACTGTACGGCGAGTGCAAAAGACTGAACTAAAGCACAATATTTCATAGTCAATTCAACTAAACATTTAGATTATTATCCTTGGAAATTATACTATATAGTATGAAAAGTTTAATCAAATTGAGAATTTTCGTTTGGATCGAAAATTAATTGCAACTCATATCCATATCGCAGTCAGGACTTGCAGGAAGTAAATACTTTCCGAGTGAGAAGTCAGAATCTTATCTGCCTCACCACGCAAAGAAGTCTATAACAACACCTAACTTCATATTTTGATTTTTTAAGAAAGATATCATTTTGCAGGTTTAGATTTTGATTCTTCTTTAGCACTTCTCGGAATCTAATTTCCACACCATATTCTGCCTATTTCAAGTGAATCAGAAAATACTTTAAAATTTACAGATTCAGAAATTCGGCCTTAAGTTTTCTTTTTTATTTTTAATCTCTGTAAAAGACATCTGTGAAAATTTTTTAATTTTCTGAAATCAGAGCAGGGAGCCAGAACCAGTACGGCTGCATTGGGAGGCAAAATTCTTGAGAAACCAGGTTGCAAAAAACCTAACGCTTGTGATGTGTATAGTAAATGAGATTTGTTTTACAGAAAACAACCCTAAAGCTTCACCAAGCTCTTTTTCCGAAATGGTACCTAGGAAGCAATTACCTTTCTCTCGTGAAGTGGTATCAGAAATCATAATTAGCAATTTCTGTACTTTTTGCGTCTCATTTCTTGGATATAAAATTAGATTCTAAACTGCTTCATCGCAGAGTAATGTCTTGGACGGCACTCAGATTGATCGATGTTGTAAAATAAGAAGTTAAACAGAAACGCCGCTTTTTATGATCCGTAAAAAGCAAAGAAAATGAAACTGTCATTTAAAAAGACATATTAAATTTACATAGCTCCTTTTTTGTGACAGATGTTGAGCCTGGTTTCCGAAGTCAAGCATTACTAAACCGATACATGACAAAAGCCCTGATGGAAATCAAGCAACCTTAAGATGCTGTCAGTTAGAAGCCTCACACTCCCTTTTCTTCAAGATGGGGTACCTCTCCATGATTAATCCTCCCACCTGCTAGGTTCTGCGGTGTCATTTGCTCAATCAATGCTCCCACCTGCCGAGGTCAATTCATGTCTTAGAGGCCCACTGTAAAAAGGTGCTAGTTCCTACGATAAAAACCTGTGGCATTAATGGAAGAGCCAACCAGTTTCTGTTTATAGCATCCTCTATCGTTATTTCTCTACAGGAAGAAATCTTCTGAAGAGAGAAAAATTACTCCACCCCCCCCGGAATAAAAGATGTTTTGATGGAAATTCAGCCTTGTATTTTTTTGAATTTATCATGATATGTTTAAATAATGTTTTTAAGTATATGCATCAGTCTGCGTGAAAAACCTTTAACAAATAATATTAAATTTCTGTTGAATTTTGTTAAAGCATTAACTTATCCTTAAAACGTGATTTTTGTTTCAAATAAAAACTTATAATTTTGATGTAGAGTTAGTTACCTGGGCGGTTATTGAAAGACTGAAGGATTTTTAAAAAGTTCATAAGTTGTTCGTTTTCAGTCCCGTTTTTTTAAATAAGTCATATAGCACCCACTGGAGATTAAATTGACAAAGTATGATATCCAGCAAAAAAATAAAACTTTCCTATTCCACTAAAAGATGAATTATTCAAACACGTAAGAAAGTACCGGCCACATTTTAATGTTAGAGATCTCTTATCGATAAAATATCGCCCCGTTTTGAAAGAATTGAATCAGTCGGCTCTCTTCCACTGAGAGGCCCTCTATACGCACTGACGTAACTCTGATCTGGAATAGAAAACTCAGTGAATTTTCCTTGTTGCTGAACATCATGCGCAAAACTACGAAGTTATGAATTTTTCAAACCCTTCAGTCTTTAGTGGCCATTCTTTATTAAAAAACTGTAAATACTTCAAGAAAGTAACTTTTCGAAATTTAAAATAATAATTAAAAAAGTTTAACTTAAAAATTAGCATAAATAAAGATGAAATTATCGATAAATGCTAGACATATTTTTATTTTTATTTGCGTTTGATTTTATCTTTGAACTACTTTTAGTTCATTGCAATCAAATGTGTTTTAAACTGTAATAAGCCAGGGAAATCCTATTCTGATCATTCCAACTCAAACTCTCCAACTGATCCTCTCTTATACGACCGGAAAGAACACAAATAATGCAAGAAAAAGCAAAGTAATATGTATATAGTACCCATTATAAATAAGTAATAAAAAGTTTAGGCTGAATATGCTTTGACTGATTGATTATACTTTCCCCAAATA